CATAAGGACAAAAACTGAATAAAACAGTCATAACTCGAGAAGAGAAGGTCAGAAATCCAAACTCTTTTAGGGTATTTTTAGTCCCACTAAGGACTACATATGGGCAAAATATCACGTTAAAAGCGAGGCTTCACCTGGGGGAGGGGGTTCCTCGTAAATAAAAGATGACGAAAAAATGGGTTCCACGATAGATCGAATAAAAGAATACTCTCGTGATTAGTAACAACAGCTACATCATTTTTCACATTTTAATTCCGGAGGAATTGCGCTAGCAGCTATTTTGTCAATAGTATTTGCAACTATCCATCATTCTACTGTTTTTCTTCATTAAGATAAAACTTTTTATTTCAGAGTGCTACAGTAATAAATGAAGTTTTCTTTTTGGCCTATCACCAGTTTTAAATAGTACAAAAATTCTTACCGGATGGTATGTTACTTGAAAGGACACAAAACTGGAGTACGGAACGAATATATTTTGGCATGGACACGATAATGTATCCGAATGGGTAGCTTCGAGACGATTATACATGTCAAGTGATGGGTTTTGTACTCTGATGGAGACATTTTTTCTGCTGACAGAAGTGAAGAGTACAAGAATGAACAGACATGTAACCAAGAGAATCAAATAGACCCGTGTTGTCAGTAGTTGATTACGTAATGTCCGATGATTATTTTCGTTTTGCTCATTTGGCTCAATAAATAAATTGACCTGAGATAGTTTTTGAAATAAAAATCGAATGGCTTTCATCGATCTAGTAGAGAAATAAAAATAACTTTCACAAGTAATTAGATGAAAATTCTTTGACTTACTAACTGTTTTGAATTGTTTGTTGAGAATAACACTGTTTTATGTGAGGCTCACAAGTTCCTCAATTTTGATGAATCAAAAAAAGAAGTAAAAAAATAATAACAATTCAACCATGTATCCGACACAACGTTCATTTTGAAAGGAATGAGTTTTTTTGGCTCCTAGAGAACCATCTAGTTCCTATATTTTACGTCTCAGTCATCATGATTATCAAGAAAGAAAAAAATGTTCATTTTATGAGAAACAACATTCTCAAAGGGTAGTGAGTGTAAAATATATTTGTCATACAATATGGAACAGGAGATGCATAAATGGCTATAAAAGGTGTTATTTAAAAGTTGAACTAAATGATAAAAGTATGATTGCTCATTCATCAGAATAGATAACAAAAAGTCAATTCAGCCTAAAGAACTTTGTTTTGTGCAGATAATCACATGGGTGGATGTAGGTATCACCTGTACAATATCTATAGAGAAATATCGAACATTTCTTCTCATAATTTGTTTATGTAAACCTGCCACGTCTGAAGTCAAGAAACTAAGACAGATCAAACAGGAATCTTTGTTCATTCCGCTGTGTCTAGAGTATATATGCTCACTCTCAGCTTCCTGCTTCGTCTTTTTTCTAAACTTTTTCTAAAATCGGTAGAATGTAGTGTCATATGGATAGCTCAACCATTTTCACCACTATCGTAAGCGCAGTAGAAAAATGTAACATAGTTAGCAAAATGAAATTACTTTTTTTATCGGTAGCAATCATGCTAAACTGAAGTAACTACTCTTTTCTGAAGAGCAATTTTCTTAGAGATGGTGACTGTAGTGAGATGAACAGAGACGATGTGATAAGGCGTAATAATTTTTCATCATGCTACAATGAAGAAAATTTTCTTTCTGTCCTATTTGATATATTTTTCTTCGTTGGATTCAAAGCTTAGCAAGGGTAGACTTTATTGAGTATATGTACTAGGTTGGAAATAATATTTTGCCAGGGGGGGGGGGGGGTACTGCTATAATTTCAAATAGAGTAAATGATGAATTTTATACCAAACGAAAGCCCATCCAAAATTGGTTATATTGATACTAAACAATAAGGATTATGGAAACTTTCATATCTTGAAACTCTCGAAGTTTAAATAATTTTGCATAATGCGATCGTTATAATTCATTTTTATCGAGTTGTAAGACAAAGAAAAAAAAGAAATTTTCTTTGGAAAAACTGAAAAGAGCATTGTTCTAGTGATCATAAGACCTAACTATGATTCAGAAGATGCGATTGTCCTTTTGCATTCTGTTGTCTGTTCATTGTGGTGGAGGCGAATGAAAAGGATTTTTTTTATTATTCTTCTCTTAAAAAGTTATAGAACAGAAAAGTTCAAGAAGTTTATGAAAATAATGTATAAGATCATTTTCTGATCAATATCTTTCATAAAAAAATCTATCCTGTCGGTGAATCAATTAAATCTAATTATTTTAAAATGGCTGGTACTTATGATACTGAAGAGCAGAGAATTATTGATAGAATTAAATGCATCGCTTTTCGTGAAGCTCTAGATGCTGGTACAACATTTATTAATCGACATTGGGTCGCGGAGAAAGTTCATCGCTCGATTCGATTTTTTACAGACTGGTGAGAAAAACCATATGACCAATGTTTTGTTGATTATTCAAATGCTGATCCTAAGCTTAAATTATCACAAGCAAGTCAAGACATCATCATTAACGTGAGTGGTCGACAAAGAAAAAGTTGTTCTTTTGTGGCGAAGGAAATTGCAGAAAAGCAAAAAGAGTACGTCGTTCCCAGAACAATCAATAACTACCGTCATCGAGAAGGTTTAAAGCCGTTCCATGTTATTCGAAAACTGTTAATATCGGAAACTCATATATCGCATCCATTATGGATGTACGATTGGTTAGAAGATTGGACCGAAGAGGATTTTCTTCATCTCGCACCATCTGATGAATTTTTTGTCTGGGTTGTTCGTCGACCAAATCATCAGAATGATCGAATTTAGGCAAAAAGTATCGACGATATTGAAGAAGATGAATGTTATCGTGAAATGGTTAAAAATCAAGCATGTATTGGGATTTTTGTTATATTTACTGCTAAGAGGTTACATTGGGTAATCAAAGATAAACGCGAATCTTGGACTGGTCAATATTTTCGTGATATAATTTTAACTGAAAACGTATTTTCGTTCTTAAAAAATGAAGAAAATGTTATCGATCCCGATGAAGTTATATTTGTCCATGATAAAGCACCATGTATGCGAGCAACTCAGACCCAACATTTGCTTCAAGACAATGACGTTAAGTTTTGGAGTAATGATATTTGGCCTGGAAATTCACCCGATCTGAATGTGGCAGAACATATTGGAACAATAATCAAGGGTGAAATTGAAAAAAAAAATGTTATCAAAAACTGGACATTCTCGTTATCTTGAAGAAACACTGAAAATGCACAATTCAGATGTTTTGACAAACATGGAAACAGACACTGATTTATTTGAAACTCTTCTATGTTCGCATCCATCTCGACTGCGTGCAGTAAAGAACACTAACGGTCGTCATACTGATTATTGATTGTATTCATTAAACAATGAAAAAATAAAGAATTTTGTATCACAATTAGTTTCAACTTTATCTCATCAATAACTTTTCTCACACCTTTGATCGGTGAAATTTCCTAAATTTAGACATTTCAACATACGAAAGTTTTCATAACCCTTATTGTTTATTACCAACAAACCCCATCTTTGACGGGCTTTCGTTGGTGTAAAATTCATTATTTACTCAATTTGAAATTATAGCGGTACCCCTTGGCAAAATATTATTTCCAACCTAGTAGATATGCAAAACTATTTCATCAAAAAGTGTTTACTCAAAACTTAGCATGTAGGAGAAAAGAAAATTCATACATGTTTTCAGAAGACAAATAGAAACTAACAGAGTAGGTTTTATCTAACAGTTGTTTTTCTAAGAGTTAATATTTTTAAGAAAATGCCATCTTTTCATTTCGGATCTACATATTCAACATTTACGGACAAAATATTTCCGTTCGAACTAGTTTTTAAGACTTTTGAAACATCCTCTCACTGCTGTCAAACTACAATAGATATAAAATTTCTGATTTAATATCCAAACGAGTTTAAAAGTCTGATGCCAACCTATATTTGTTTGACTTCTCTTGATTACTTTCAAGCAGATCAAAATATGAACAAATATGTTGTCCGTATACTTTCGCACCATATGCTTTATTCAACAATCCGTCAATAGACTCGAACATGGCTGCCTTACCAAAACAGATTAGAAGTTCATCTGTTCATTAAAATCGAGGTGTGATCTTCAGTATGATTCAATATCTTTAGGAAGATATTCAGCAAAACAACTTTCAGATCAACCAGGAAATTTCTCGAAATTCCTAAAAGAAAAATAAATGAAATGTTGAGCGATGTTCAAAAAAGAATTTACAATAATCATTATGTTTCATTTAAGATGCATATCATCGTATGAGCGTCAGTTAGTAGTAGAACAGAACAGCTCGGATAGAATATTTGGGCCTTTATCATCTATTTCTGATTATTTTACTGGTTAAAGAGTTAACTTGAGAAGACAGAGAGAGCGTTTTTTATATATAGTCAAATGAAAATTAGTTAATGCAGTAAAAGACGAAGTATATGAAATATTTTATTTCAATAAAATACAACGAGAATATGTACCAATATATGTGTATGTGTATGTATATGTAATATGTAGAATTTTCGATCT